TTTATTTATTTATTTATTTATTTATTTATTTATTTATTTATTTATTTGTGATATTTATATGCCACCCTATTGCAAAAGCCTCAGGACGGCTTACATAAATAAAATACAAAGATCAATATAAACTATATTGCAATATAATCATATTTGCAATATGATCTTGAGTGTCTTTTCCTTTTTGGAATCCAGCTTGGGTCTCCAGCCTCTCTTGCTCCCTATTCTTCGTTGCAACTCTTTGAGCAGGACTTTGGTTGCATGGGATTTTAATGCAATGGTCCTATGGGTGCTGCACTCTTTTGCATTTCCTTTCTTGGGGCCTGGAATACATATTGAACATTTCCAGTCTGTGGGCCACTGATTTGCTTTCCGTATTTTTTGACATGTTTTTGTTAGAATTTGGACTGTTTCATTTTCTGCAACTTGGAGCAGTTCTATTAGTATCCTGTCTACTCAAGGTGCTTTATTCTTTTCAAGTTCTTTCAGAGCAGCTTTCACTTGTAAGCACTTCTTCATGGGCTTCCACTTCAAAGAGATGTATCATCTTTTCATCTCTGCTCTACAGTTCTTCTGTATATTCTTGTTTTATCATTCCTAATCTAGGTTTGAATTTGTATTTGATTTCTTGGCTCTTATAGAAGAGATCTCTTGTTTTTCCCCTTTTGTTGCTCTTTTTTATTTCTTTGCACTGATCATTGTAATGGGTCTTTTTGTCTCATGTGAAAGTAGCTGAAAAGTTGTATTCAGGATTCTGACCCTATTTCTGTCACATGGGAACTACTAAGCCCCATTAAGATATTTATTGAAATAGAGCTTTATCATTTGAGGCATGTCTGTGGGAACAAACATTCCCACACAAGTAATAATATCTGAACATGATAAAAATGTTCAAGTAGTTATATGATCTCTTTGAGATATGGCAGCAGTGTCTGCCCATGTAGGAGATGAATACACACTGAAACATCTTTCGCCCCCTTCAGAAAGATTCCTGCCACTGTTTCAGAGCTAGAGGATGGGAAGTTGGACATTTCTTAATTGGTCTGCTTGATTCAACTGTCATCTTCTCACAGGGTCAAGGAGCCCCTCCCCACATTACAAAATGTCTCCCTCCTGTTCAAGGCAGGTTGGTTTTCATGCTCTGTCTGAGTATCTTCATTGGGTAACCTTGAAACTGCCAAGTCCTCTGCTCACCACTGCCCCTCTGCCTCCTCCTCTGAATCTGGAGACTCTATCTGGGAGCCTATAATTTGAGAGAGCTGGTCCCACTCTCTACTGAGCATATTGAATGCTGGCTTCTTGTCCTAGAAACTGGCTTGCACCTCCCTTAGTATTGGCCATAAAAGTGGCACGCAAAAAAGGACCTAAGACTAGATGTGGCATAAGCAAGTAGTGCTTAGTCTTGTTCATATATAATTCAGCTGCTCCTGCAATTAGCTCAATTCATCTTTGCATCAGTAGTCATTCTATTACACTTGGCACCACACCTTTGAAATTCATATATAGGTAGTTCCTGGGTTATGAGCATCCAGGTTTCGAACAACCCATGCTTGTGAATGCGTGGGTTGCCATAAAGCGTATATGAATATGTCTAGAGAAAAGTCATGAATATCTCGAAGGAACTATGCACTGTGTTTTGCAGTGGCCACATAGTTCCATAGAGATAGTCATAGAACCTTTAGATGAAATGTTTTCACCTTCTCTAATGAGTTCTTCAACACTTCAGACAACACATTTGCCCCCTCCTCCACATAAGCCTTGTGATCCATCAGGAACTGTAACTGGAAGCTCAAGAAATGCTCAGCCAGCTCTGACCCTGTGCACAGACCCACTGAGACTATTTCACCATGGATTAAAGTGTTTTGAATGTAATAAGCAGGCACCGGACAATGGTGCCCTAGCAGCCCATTATCAGTGAACCTCGGAAGATCATGAGGGATTCGTCAGTCATTTTTAAAGATCCAAGTTATTTTCTATTGGGCTTACATTAAAATTAAAGATGGACAGACAATGAAGCTCATACATACATTCAGCATGAGAGGTAAGTTACTACATTTTTTCCCCAATCTTGTATATCCACACACTTACACACATACAGGCAGATTCTCTCTCTCTCTTCAGTACCTGTAGTCCCTTTATTATTACTGTATTATCATTATCACAATGCTGTATTGTATTTAATATGTTTTAGTGAAAACTGAAGTGATTCTTAAATGTTTTATATGCATATAAATGTAAAATAAATACATATACTAAGTCTAACATTTGGGTTACTTGTGTGATCCAACTTACATACAAATTTGACTTAAGGACTTTTTCCAGAACGGAACTTGTTCTTAACCTGGGGACTACATGTAGTCTTGCTCTGTCCAAGCATCTCTGAGCAACAGAGTCATCCCTTTTCAAAGAAGGATTAGGCTAGTCCAACTGTACATGATGGTGAGCAGGCCATTGAGGATTTCTGGGCAGATGCGAAAATGAGTTTCACCCTCTTGTAAAAGTATTTTTTCATTCTCCAGGCCTCTGCTGAAGCAAGCAATAAGAGAAGCTTGCACAGTCCAATCTTGGACTCCTGGGTTTGTCTGTAATTATGTACTGGTCAGTTGACTGGCACTGCATCTATTGGCCAATTTTTATATTATATAATGACAATTTGAACAGGATGCTGTAGCTGATCTCACATATCCTCCCAAAGGAAAATATGATGTTAAAAACCTATATAATTTAATATTTGTAAAAAGAACCTAAAATATAGTATGCTTGCTGTGCATGGATAGACTAAATCGGATCTGTGGATTCACTGTTGGGCTCTCAGTTTAAACTTAAAATAAAAGGAAAGAGCATGGGTAAGGGAAAAATACTTGCAATTTCTGGGAGAAGCTAATCTAAAGTAAGGATCAAAATAAAGTTGAAGCGGAAAAGAGGATGAAGGTGAAATAGCCAAGAAGTGAACATTACATATGAAAGGTATCACTGAAAAGAAACACAAACATGATATGAATACAAGAGAATTGAGGTTTTGCAAGAAAACTTGTATCTGATGTGTGGAGGGAACCATGGGAAAAGAGAGGGGAATTAATAATGATAGATACAAAGAAGCAAGGCTGTGGAGAAGTTCAAAAGTCAGAAGAAGTTGAAGTTTAAACTCAAAACAGGACAAAAGAGAATGAAAAATAAAGAGATGAAAAATGACTAAATAAAAAAGGACAGTTAAGTGAGCAGAAAGATTAAGGCTAAAGATTAGTATATTGCTGAATATTCAGTAATTGAACAGACAGTTCCATTGATGAATTAATATGGAACCCAAAAGCATATGACATGGAATTCCACTTATGCCTCTCTTTGTTTCTTGTCATGGCTAGTACAATGCGGCATGTGATGTTAAATGATGGAATCATACTTGGGTTTCCCGATCTCCATGAGCCAACATGAAACAGAGAGGTGTGCAACATACTTTAGCTCTGTTTAGGCATTGGCTTGAACTTGCAAGGCTTAAAGGTGCATAGAACGCAGGGACTGTGCATACTGGTCCTTCTCCCAGTACCCAGGCACATGCAGGACCCACACCCTTGGTTCCCGATGATCTGAAAAAGAGTTCTTGGATTTGCTTGAGTACAAGCAGATCTCTCTGTGAACTTGTGCTTCATGGGAGCAAACCATCTGGATCCTGCAGAGAATTCTACTTGTGTTCAGCTGAATCTGAGTAGAATTTCTCTTGGAGCCTTGCTGCTCAAAGTAGGGAAGGCAGGAGATGAAAGAACAGCCCCAACATTCACTAGGACATTGGGTGAAGTACTGGCATGCTTGTGTCTAAGCTTGCATGAGTTCTATTTTCCGTGTTAGCTGCTAACAAGGGGAAGAACACAAAGAAACTGTTGTGCCAGCAGTTTTGAACAATTAAGCAGAATATCTTGTGCTGTCCCATGATCCCTGAGTGAAGAACCTGGCATTTCAAGCTGGTCAGGCTTTCTTCATGGATACAAGAAGGATAGAAACCCACCTTTCTTTGGACTGGTCTTGAACTGGCTTCCTTTCAGCTCTATGGTAACAGGATTCAAATGCCAGTCTTGCTTCTTCATATCCACTCAGTACATTTTTAGACATGTTCTGACTTTGCCTGAAGTGCACAAGTGTGGATGTGGCAAATGTTTAGTTGCAAACAAACTAAATGAGCAGGCACTTTTGTCAGGAGCTCAGATTCTGCCCAACAAATGAAAAATGCTCGCATGTTTGTCCTGCTGAAAGTAAAGCATCTGGAAAAGCCCTGAAAGATAGAATACCCTTTCAGGGGAAACCATCTGTATTTGTGTCCAGGTTGTTCTTTCGTGGCTACGGGAACATTCAATACAATCACTGAGTAAACTTATTAAATGGCAGCTCCTGTGTTAAGCACTTATTAAGAAGGCAGTCACACACCCACCTGCTTGATGGTCATATGGAGGGTAGCTTTCTTCAGGTGCTCCAAAGAGTTCTGACCAAGACATCAGAGATTCACACAGCATCGTGTTTGGCAGAAATGTACTGTGGTTTACTGAGTCCAGCATCATCCTAAAACATCACACTATTATTCACATCAGTTCTTCACTAGGAGTTCATTCTTTCAACACCTACACATAGCACAGCAATGAAATAAACGATTTTCAGTAGACTGCTGTGTTTTACAGTAGTATTCCACCCTACTCTTGTTTGTCTACTGTTTATTTATTTCATGTCAATTCTAGGTTGTCCACCAGCAAATATTCTTTGGGTGGCTTACGAGAATCATATCTTTCACTGGTTTATTTCTAGAAAAATGGTAACCATAAAAGTGGGTGATTAATCACTTTGCAACTGGTCAAGTATTAAAAAAAGTTTACTGGCCACACAGAATAACAAGATCAAAGTTAAAGCTATGCTATAATTTGTTTGCATGGAAGTACACAGAAAGCAGTGACAAAAACATCAGCAGAAACCTGGTGTTCTCTGACTACAATCTCAAGGATTCCTGACCATTGATCATACTGGTGGGAACTGATGAGAGCTGAACTTCAAAACATCTGGAAGGTACTAGATCGGGGGAAGGTACTCTACTGGTTGCAACTGGAATCATCTTGAAACCAGAGCATTTTGCCTGGAGCAGGGAAAAAAAGGACCTCCTAGCAGTATATGAATCAAGCCCAGCCTTCGTCATCCTTGTGCATACCAGATGTGCTACACCACCTTGCTGCCCTATTGACTGAGGGATGCTGGGTATTGTAGTTCAACACATCCAAAGTGTTGGGAAAGTCTGTTTTATTCCTTGCACATGCTGCTAGCAGTTTGCTACATTCCTTTGCATATAATGTTTAGCTATGCCCTAAGAAGGGTTTACTGGCAGAGTTTCCCATGGAAAGTCAATTATTGTTTCTGATGTGTAGCTGGAGGCGTTATATTCAACAGGATGAAAAGAACTATTGTATCATACACTGGCTTGTGATCAGCATTACTATTTCTGCCTGTTAATATTTCCAGTACAGTCATGGCTTTATCCACGGAAGAATTTGGAATAAACAGCAACAGGAATCCATATGCTAATCTGAAACATTTATAACAAAATTGGGACAGGGTGTTTCTTGTTTTAGAGCAGTAGAACATTCCTGCTGAGGTTCAAGTGCTACTTCCAAATGCTTTATGAAAAGCAGCACATACAGTTCCCTTCACTTCTACTTTTGTGCCAAATCCTGAAAAATATGTAAGTTCAAATGACTCCTGTTTTCGGGGACAGCTTATCTTTTCTTGCTGTGGTATTGTTGTTGCCACCCCACCTATCCTATCCCTTTCCTCTGTTCTGGGTTCAACATTCTGATTATTTTGTCCCATCAGAATGACATCAAAACTCTACACTGCAAGGCGGCCCAAACTGGGGCGTGTTGAACAATCAAGCAGTCATTTTCATAAAGATTATTGAAAACACATCTGGTGGTTTTAATTGCTGCTGAAAATATTTCCTCAAAAGTGGCAGCTTTGGTTCACAACTAATTCATGAGGAGCACTTTAGCATTTAGGGGCACCGCTTCCCAACCAGAAAATTCAGGCTCCTTGGGAGGTTGGTTTCCTGGCACCTTTCTTAAAATGTCAAGGAAGGAAATGCTAGGGTAAAAAAAGGAAAGGGAGAAGCTGGGAAATGGGCCCATACAGAAGATTGTGTACTTCCCTCATTCTGTGCCTTGGATCTAGATCCTGAAATGCTTCATAACCTCTGTCTGGTGTGTTTAACTTTTCACTGAATACAAACTACAACATAGTGAAGGAAGAAAACTGCAAATTATTGCACTGAGGCAGGGTCCAGTATGTTGGAGGATGATCTTTTATCTTCCCCTCTTTTCTTCTAAGCAGACCAAGATAAGAAGACCCTAATTACAGTCTTCATTATGTAAGCAGACCAGCCAGGCTGGATTGGTGATAGCAAAGCAGGCATCCTTGCCTCTGAATATTCCAGTTCCCCTTGTGGGCAGTATCCAGAGCTTCCCATCCATGAGAGAGGCCACTGCTGCATCTGTTGCGCAGGCAGTATGAACCACTTCCATAACTGTGATTTGGTGCTTCCACCAGCAAGAAACACGCATTTCTGGGAAAGGGGCAGGCTGGTGGAGCTCTGCAGATCTGCCCCATTCCAGAATTGTTGGGGTGGCTACTCACAGGTGGTTAGCACTGGATTCTGTCACGTAGTTCCTTCTGAGAAGAAAAAGAAAAGAAAGAAGGAAATTATATTAGGAGAATTCTTATCCATCCCATCATGAGGCTGATGAAATAACTTCTGTCATTTGATCAAAAGAGCAAATGAACACATCAAGTTGACCTTCATTTTCTCTGAAACGTTAGCTGTTCCCTATAGACCAGGGGTCTCAAACTCGTGGCCCGCGGGCCAATTGCTGGGACAGGCGGGGCACAGGGGAGGGGCCCTGTGGCCTTCAAAGCACCGGCGGCACCTGGACCGGCCGTGGGATGAGTGGCCCACACCACCGCGGTGGTGGAATACTTGATGCGGCCCAGCCTCACCCAGACTCTACTTTCAGCGGCCCCCAGGTAAGCTGAGTTTGAGACCCCTGCTGTAGACCAATGGCACTTTGTATGAAAATGAGGCAGAAAATTTACCTTGTCACCATTTTGCCATTTCAGCTTATATGTTTAACAGTCCCTTAAACTCACTTTAGTGAACCTGACTCCCAGCTGTTTTAAGACTCTGCTCTGAATTTTCTAGAGTCCTACTGCCATAGAACTGGCCTTCCACACTTATTTATTTATAAATTTATAGGTGTGAATAAGCCAACTAAATCTCTCTAACTTATCACTTATCTTCTCATTTGTTCTTGGATTCCAATTTCCCATCATCTGCCAACATACTCAGTGGTTCATGATGATGGGGTTTTAGTCCACCAACATCTGGGGACCCAAGACTGAGAGAGTCTGCCACTTCCAAGATCCTTATTTATTAGTTACACCTCTCATACAAGGAAATTAGACAAAAACGGCTAGCTAATCTCATTTATAGATTCCAGGTACAACTACTGCTGCCAAAGCAACCAGAATAATGCTTTAGGATTACTGATACTAATTATCAATACATAATTAATTACTTATAATGCTATAGTGTTCCTAAATTTGGTAACTAAAGCAAGATGTACTATTATAATGACCAATAGTAATAACCAATAATACCAGAATAACTGGAAGAGCTAAGGCATGAAGATTTTATTGTCTATTTAGCACCTGGACGTTATATATTTTCAGTGAAAAGTCCTCTAACTTTTAAGTTTCCTCCTGAGCATTAATCTATAACAAGATTGTAAACACTGAAAGATACATTATATGCACAATTTATCCACTGACATAACCTTGCAAGTTAGGGTAGGAGCTGACGCTCAGTTAGCAAATAAGATCCAGATTACAAAGGAGTGCAGCAAGACTGCATTTGAGCCCCCACACCTCATAATTCCTGAAAGGGTCTCTAAGAGGAGATCATGTGTTTCCAGTAGCCAGCACTACACCCTTTTACACATAGATTTATTTATTTAAAAGTTTTGTATGCCATCTCCACATGCCTCAGCATCTCGAGATGGCTCACAACACATACAATTAAAAACAATAAAGCAATCCCTATAAATAACAAATTCCAGAAAAGGTTATATAAAAACAAAACTAAAAAAACAAAAAACAAAAAGAGTGACTGTTAATGATAACGTATTCGTTTTTAAAATAGCAATTAAATAAAAAGGGTTTAACCTGGCACCAAAAAGAATATAAACTCTGCGCCAGGCGCACCTCTGCAAGGAGTACATTCCATAATTCTATAGATTATGCTCTTCTAATTTTGCGTATTCAGATTGGTCTTCATAGATTACTAGGGTGATTTAATTAATAAGGTCAAAATTACACAAATGGAAAAATGACCTTATACATTTGCTTATAATTTGATAGTAAGGGAACATTGCTTCCCTACTAATGTTTTAAGCTTCTTGACTTACAGATGAATGTCTAAATAGATCTAATGGCATTTGAATCCATTCCTAAGTTTTTGGTGAAGCATTAAGACTTCATGCCAGATATTACAACCTCAGGATACCTTTTGTCTGTTTGGAATGGAATAATAACAGGGCTAAATCTCAAATGTACATTAATTCATTCTTTATCATCATTGCAGTAAATCTGGCCCATGAGATATGGGTAAAGAACTCAGCATTCTCATCGCACCCATAATGTGGAACAAATCTGAGAATATTAGACTAAAAGGCAAAGGAATAATTGCATGTCTTCCCCTTTTTCCAACATGGGGCAATTTAACACAGTATGTTGGAGGCACTTGCTGTGGAGTTTTTCATCAGATTGCCCAGTTTGCTACCTAGTGAATGATGATAATGATAGTAGGTAAAAATTAATGACTTATTTGGAGCTGCTTCCATCAACAGAACTAGCAGGGCGCAATGTTGCCTGCAGCCCCTGGTGTACCCTCCAAATCCATTCCCAAAGGCTGGGGGATTTTCTGGAGTGGATTTTCTGGAACGGAGGCACACGGGCTGCAGGCAGGAGAAAGAAAGGGAGTCCTGTGTGACTTCAGACCCAGCTTATAGTATCTTTCTCTGCGGGGGTGGCATGGTGTGTGGCAACTGAAGTATTACATCTCCTTCAACTTGGGCCTTTGAAAAGTCAACTTGCTTAGAAAACAGAACAAAAGAAGACAAACAAAGATTAATCCATTGGCACTCCTGAATATGTACACAAGCCTGCTAATAATTCCTGGCTATTTCGCTTCACTCTTTCACAAATTCTTTCTTAGTGACAGTAAGGATCAATTTTAGCTTCAACCTTTTGAAGCTTGTATTGATGGCAATTGAAGAGCCACTGAGAAAGTTGCAGGTCCATGAATATTCTGTTGGAATTACAGAACAGAAGCGGAGAAGTCAGACAACGAAAAGCTTTGGCTTACTTTGAGAATCAGAAATAGCACAAAGCATGCATTCAGCTCCGTTCTTTGTGCTGAGGATTGCATGAATACATTTTGGTGTTTGAAACCTTAGTACAAAAGCACAAA